CCCCCCTCCGCCGCCACCCCGGCCGTCGCCGCCAGACGTGTTCTCCGGCTTCGCGACCCATCCCGCGGCTCTGGGCCCCCCGACGCTGCTGGCGGAGCAGATGAGCGTGATTGGCAGCCGCAAGAAGAGCGTGAACATGACCGAGTGCGTGCCGGTGCCCAGTTCGGAGCATGTCGCCGAGATCGTAGGTCGCCAGGGTGAGTGGCCGCCGTCAGGGGCACCGCCTGCCCCAGGGAGGGGGTCTCTCCACAGCCCAGTTCCCGGCTGAACACTGGACACGCCCCGCGTGGGCTCCGGCCTGAGTGGCCGCCTTTGCTTTTGTCCAGCCGCCGGCCCTGGGAGAAAGTTGGGCGCAGCCTGCGCTCCTCCCATCGCTCTCAGGCCCGCCGCCGCCTTTGTCTGGGCGACTGCAGCCAGTACTGGGTTATGCCTGCAGCGGCTGTCCAGGGCCCCCGCAGCCCGCAGGGACACCCCAAGACCGGTCTGGGAACCTGGCTCGAGCTGGGCGGTGGGCGCTTTATCCCCGCCAGAGCCGTGGGGCGGGGCAGGCTCAGATTTGGAGGTGGCTTAGGGAGGGCCTGCAGGGTCAAGGAGGGAAATCTGGTAAAGCAGAGAGGGAGCATCCCAACACCCCCAGTCTGGGGACCCCTTCCTGGTGGGCTGCTCTCACTTCCTGTGGATGTGAGAGGATGCTTTGACCCGCTCTCTGCCCCCAGTCAGGCAACCTGGCTCATGGACGGGACAGCTGCAGAAGCTGCTTTGGGGGCACCTCCACAACCCTCCTTGGCAGACTGGCACTGGGCAGGCCCAGGGTGTGGGGGTCCGGGCAGCGGCATTGTCAGAGCGTCCCTGTTGCCCGCCCCATTGTTCTCTTTGTTAGAGAGCCAGGCTAGATTTGCAGGGTGACATCAGGCTGGCCGATGCTCATTGGCCCTCTAGCTGTGGGGCGGGCAGGCGGGTGGTGGGCAGTGCCCAGCCCCAGCACACACCCACCGCCCCTGTTATGGCCTTGTCCTCCTGCCCCACCACCCCTACCACCCCACTGGCCCCAACTTTCTTCTCCTTTCCACCTGCCCCTCCCTGCCCTTAGCTCCCTGCTGCCCGCCTATGATCAGCCAGGTTCTAGAACTCAGGGTGGGGCCAGGTAGGGCTGGAGGTGGGGCTGCCAGACATCAGGCTGGAGGGGGGCAGCCTCTGGACTCTCAGTAACAGCCAGAGAAGGGTGTGGGGGATTTGAATTGCAAGGTCACCTGCACCCTAGATGCGGGCAGGGGACCACAGGATGCCCTACCTTAGCACTGCCCTTCCCTAGTTCCAGGTGGGTAGACCAGTTGGCCAGCAAGCCCTTTTGTCTTTCATTAATTTATCCATCCTGTGTGGGGACACACTGAGGGTCAGGCATTGTGCTGGGCCTAGGGGCCATCATGAGGGAGTGGGTCAGTAGTTCTCTGAGCCCTGCTGTCCCAGACGGCGAGACCCTGGGCAGGACTGCTGTCTCCACATCCCTGCTGCCTTTCCCCTCGGGCCCACGGCCAGCTCCTTTGTGCCCGGTGTCTAAAAGCTGGTGGGAACAGACATGCAGCCCAGGTCTGGGGTCTTCTGCCCAGCCCACCAGGCAGGCCCTGGGGGACAGGGGAGGAATGTTCTCTGTGAAAGCATGGGTTCTGCTGCCTAAATGTCCAGTCCAGTTGGAGTCAGGCAGAGGGCATCTGGCCCAGGAACTCAGGCTGAACATTCTCTAGAGGCAGGGTCATGGGGAACCTACCCTGGAGCACCAGGTTTGGCCTGATCTCCTGGATGTACACTTGGCACCCCTCTGTCTGCTGCCAGGCTGGGATCTTGTAGGCAGCAGAGAGCAAGGTGGCCCTGGGGTACAGTGGGCCCTGAGCAGTCACCCTGCATGCTGCAGTGGTCCCCTGATCCCAAGCAGAGAGGTCTTCTCTGAGCTAGAGATAGCACTGCCCATGGGGTTGTCTTGAGGTGCTCAACAAGATGCTGCTTCTGATCCCAGCTCAGGGTACACACAGTAGCTGCCCCATAAGTGGGAACAGGGCCCTAGGGAGGGAACCCTTAGTGCCAGGACAGGATATCAGCTTCAGCAGTCCGCCCCTCCCAAGCTTCAGAACCATCTGTGGCTCCCAACTCCCCCCATATTCGTTCTTCAGGGTGTCCATCAGTCCTTTGTGCCTCAGTTCTGCCCACTCTGTCTCTCTGCTCTGTACCCCATTCTTCATCCTGGGGCTCCTGTCAAACTCCAAGTTCATGCCACCCTCCTGTGGGGGGCAGGAGAGGATCACCTGTCAGGTGCTCTCCCTGAGCCTGTGGTCTGAGTCCTTGAATGGGTTTCAGGGCTTTCTGGACACAGCACAATCATCACCCCTTCCCCCAGTTCTCTGTTTGCTGAGCTGAGGTCCTGGGCAGAGGGTACTTTCCTCTTCTTCCTCTGCCAGATCTGTACCATGGGGGCAGGATATGCTGCAGACTGAACCCAGGCCCCCCACTACTGAGCCACGCCCCAGCCTTTATTTTTTATTTGAGACAGGGCCTCACTAAGTTGCTGAGGCTGACCTCAAACTTGTGCTCCTCCTGCCTCAGGCTCTAGAGAGGTGGGATCACAGGCATGGCCATCACACCTGGCATGCCTAGACGGTTAACATGAGTCTCCCCTCTGCTGGCCGCACTTGTCCTGCCTTGTCAATGTGTCCTACAGAAGGTCCTTGCTGCTTCCCAGGTCTAGAGGGGAGGGAGTCGCTGGTCACATGTGGAGGGGGCAGGCCAGAGTGAGGGTCCACAAGGGGTGGATTCCAACCCTGTGAGCAGGGCTGGGTCAGGGAGGAACTGGAGCCTTCCTACAGAGAGAGTGGAGACGCCCAGTGGGTCAGCGAAGGCCACCCAGGGACCACTGCGCGCACTCCCTGCGGGTTCCATCTGAGACCCTCCCAGCTGCCTTCTGACCACCCTCTGCGTGTCTGTGCCCTGTGGCTGCCTCCCTCTGCCAGTTCCCAACAAGACCCCTCCTGGCTGTGGGTGGGTGCTCAGACCACCAGGGTCTGCAGGGCTTGGACAGAAGCCACCAGATTCCTCCCTCTCTGCCATTGTCCCAAGCAGAGGACAGTGGCCTCAGACTGCCTCCTCAGCTAAGGGGAGGTCCAGATGCCCACTCTTCTCCTCCCCATGCCTGTGCCCGTCCCACCCCAGGGCTCGTGGCCGGCCCCTACCCCATACCTGTGTGCTTCTCTGGGGGCTGGCGATGGTGCTGTGGTGTTGGGGGCACGCTGCCTCGTGCCTGTTGTACCCTGCAGACCCCTGTGTCAGGCCTGCTGTGCCAAGCATGCCCAGAGCTGGGCCAGTTGAGCCATGCCCCTGGTCTAGGCCCTGTGTGGGACCTTGGCCCTGCCTTTGTGGGAATAGGACTGGCCACAGCAAAGAGAGGATGGTGGGTGCTACAGGGGCAGGTCAGGACATGGGTTAGCCTCTGGCATGATCACCAGAGTTGGAATCTGGGGCAGGGCCAGGAATCTGCACATCAGCCTTGCCCCCACTGACTCCTGGTAGCTCCCAGGACGCCCAGGCCTGAGGCTCACCCCCTGCCACCACCCACTTTTGCCTCACTGCGCCAGAGGGCAGAGGTGCTGCTGCCCACCCTGTAGCCCCAATGTCATGGCACTGGTGAGCCTCCTGGTCCAACCCTGCCATGCACAGCGTCTTAGAGGGTGGGATTTGAAGCAGATGGCACTCAGTTGGCAAACTGGGCTTGGGTTCTCTCCTTGAGACCCTGTGGCCGTACGGGTTCCACCCAAGCCTGCCATCTGGGACAGGGCAAGGCGGGGCAGGCCGGGGAAGCTGCCGGCTCCCAGCCTGGCCACACCCCCTTCACCTGGCCTCTCTGCCATCCGTCCACAGCTGCCCCACCCTGCACCTTGCCATCTCATTCGGCCCAAGCCAGGCTGAGGTCATGGGAGGTGCCCTCCAGCTGGGCGGGCGGGCGGGAGGTCAGGATGGAAGGACCCCGAACCAGAATCCATCCCAGTGAGACCCAGGAGGCTCCGTCCAAGTCCCTGCAGAGCCACAAAGCCCACCCTGGTGAATCCTGCACCTTTCTCTGCACCTTTACTCCTCCCCTCTCTCAAAGTGCACACCTGGGCCACAAACCACTCCTGCCCTCCGAGCCTGCCCTGAGCCCGTGAGGCCAGGCGTGCTCCTGCTGCCCGGGAAGGGTTCCTAGAATGCGCCCTCACTGCCCAGTGCCCAGCCGGGAGCGCGGGGGAGCGCAGGAAACCGGGTATGGGGAGGGAGCGCCCACCAGACAGGACTGGCTTCCTGGAGGAGGAGGGGGTTCTGGGCTGTGATCTGAGCAGGGGAAAGGGGGACAGAGGGGTGGGGCATGAGGAGCAGGGCTGTTGAGGTATGGGACGAGCCAGGTTGGTGGTCCTGGGGGAGGGGCAGATTGCCAGGAAGGACTTGGGTGCGGAGGGAGCAGCCTGTACTCAGGAGGTAGCAGGAGCTGGCCACCCTTCTTGGGAGGTGTGGGACTTCCCCTTCCCAGTCCGGCCTTTGCTCAAAGCCCTGAGTTGAGGGCCTATTGTCCTCCTCAGATTGGTCTGCCTCTGCCACCTTCTAGTGGCCCCCACTGAACACTTGTGACCACCGGCCCTAGGCCCTGCTGTCCCATCTTCTGACCCAGATGCCATCTGGGTGGCTTCTTCCCCATCAAACCCTGTGGTCCTGCTAATTTTGTATCTCGCTCCTAGAGACGCGATCGGCGGCCCCTGCTGATACAAGAGCAGCATGCCCTGTGGACTCTGCCTCCCAGGACAGAGGGCCTGGCCCCAGTCCTGGGCTGAGGCAGGGGATGCCTGACAGAGCCTCGTGGTCCTGGTGGGGAGGGATGTCCAGGCCTGGGCAGGCCACATGCCCAGGGCTGCCCAGACAATGGGGTGGCATGCCATGATCAAAGTCTCTTGTCTTGTCTCCTGTGGGGTTGGGCCCCTAGTTTCCCCAGCAGTGACAAAGGTGCATGGGCCTCTCAAGGGGTCCTGAATCATGGCCCAGGAGCCACTCCCCTTGACTGGGGACTGGAAGCCTAGGGAGGGCCCTTGGAGGACAATCCTAAGTGGTCTCCACATTTTGAGACTCTCACCACACTTTGAACAGGGAGTTGGTGTCAAGGTTCTGTGTTCATTTCCTGATGCTGACGTAACTCAGTGACTGAAATGAACTGGGCCAGAAGTCTGAGGTCAAGGTGGGCAGGCTGCGCCGCCCCCTGAGGCTCTGGGGGTCTTCCTGCCTCTCCAGTGCCCAGTGTGTTCCTGCTGGAGTTGCTGCCTTGTAGACCCCTCGCATGGCCCATCTCTGTCTTCACTGGCTGCCTGTGTCTTCTAAGGACACCGGTCATGTTGGATTAGGGCCCACCCTGCTCTATCCAGGATGGCCTCAGTTTAACCAACCACATCTGCAGAGACTCTGCTGACACAGTGAGGTCACTGCAATAGTATGAATGTGCCTGCTGCTGTAGCAGACCCTCAGGTGGGCAGCTCTGAAGGACAGAAATTACTGCTTAGGCCCCGGGAGCTGAGAAGTCTAGGAGCAAGGCACCCTTAGACGTGGTGGCTCCCAAGGGCTGGACCTCACAGGTCATGCCCTCTGAGTGTCCTCACAGAGCTGAAGGTCCAGGGGAGCACCAGTCCTATTCAGGAGGGTGCCCCCATTCCCAGTGAAGGTCCCACTTTAGCACTGTCTCTCTGGAGGCGGCCATTCAGACCACAACAGTCCACAGAGGGTCAGTGGATTATGAGACCCCTACAGCAGGGTCCTCTTTGCTGTCTTGCCGACCCTTCCAGTCCAGGGGAAACTGAGGCTCAGGGTGGGAAGAACAAGGGGCATCAGGAGAGTCAGAGAGGGGCTCCGGGTTGGGCATGCTCACTGGCCCTGCATCCGGTTTCCCACCAGGCTGTCCTGGGCAGATGGCCCTGGGTCACTGGGTCTCCGTCCCCCTGCAGGGTGCAAGATCAAGGCTCTGCGCGCCAAGACCAACACGTACATCAAAACGCCAGTGCGTGGGGAGGAGCCAGTGTTCATTGTGACGGGCCGCAAGGAGGACGTGGAGATGGCCAAGCGCGAGATCCTGTCAGCGGCTGAGCACTTCTCCATGATCCGCGCCACGCGCAGCAAGGCGGGTGGGCTGCCCGGCACTGCCCCCGGCCCACCCAACCTGCCAGGACAGACCACCATCCAGGTGCGCGTGCCCTACCGTGTGGTGGGGCTGGTGGTGGGGCCCAAGGGCGCCACCATCAAGCGCATCCAGCAGCGAACGCACACGTACATCGTGACGCCGGGACGCGACAAGGAGCCAGTGTTCGCGGTGACGGGCATGCCCGAGAACGTGGACCGCGCCCGCGAGGAGATCGAGGCGCACATCACGCTGCGCACGGGCGCCTTCACGGAAGCCGGCCCCGACAGCGACTTCCACGCCAACGGCACCGACGTCTGCCTGGATCTGCTGGGGGCCGCCAGCCTCTGGGCCAAGGCCCCCCACCCGGGTCGGAGGCCCCCCACGGCCACCAGCGGCCTCCGCGGGGACAGTGCCCTGGGCGCCCCCAGCACCCCCGAGGCCTTCTACGCGGGCAACCGTGGAGGGCCGCCAGTGCCAGACACGGGCCCCGCCAGCCCCTATGGCGGCTCTGGAAATGGGGGCTTCACTTTCGGTGCGGATGGCGCTGGAGCCCCCACAGGGACGGCCACCCCCGAGGACTGTGACTTTGGTTTTGACTTCCTGGCACTGGACCTGACCGTGCCTGCGGCAGCCACCATCTGGGCCCCCTTCGAGCGGGCCGCGCCCCTGCCAGCCTTCAGTGGCTGCGCAGCTGTCAATGGGGCCCCAGCGCCCGCCTCCACGGGGGCGCGGCGCAGTAGTGCTGCGGGCACCCCGCGCCATTCGCCCACGCTGCCTGAGCCTGGAGGACTGGGCCTGGAGCTCCCGCTGACCCGCCGCGGCGCCCCGGACCCGGTGGGTGCCCTGCCCTGGCGGCCCTCCCAGACCTCCCTGCCACCCTTCTCCAGCAGCGCCAGCTTCTCCACAGCCACCTCACTGCCCAGCAGTGCCTCGGCCTCCTCGGTCCTGGACTCCAGCGCCACCGACAGCAACCGCAAGCCCTCCACCTCCTCTGGGGCCGCAGTAGTGGCCCCCTCCGCTGCCGCTGGGGCCCCCGGTCCACCCACCACCACCCCGGCGCGGGAGTGCGTGGTGTGCGCCGAGGGCGAGGCCATGGCCGCCCTGGTGCCCTGCGGCCACAACCTCTTCTGCATGGACTGCGCGGTTCGCATCTGCGGCAAGAGTGAGCCGGAGTGCCCTGCGTGCCGCACGCCGGCCACCCAGGCCATTCATATCTTTTCTTAGTGCGCACTCGGCCGGGGCCGGGGCCTCCCCACCAGGCCCATGGCTGCCGCCTGGCGG